GGTTTGAACCGTCGGTTCACTTTTTTTCTTTTAAAAAAAATTAAACCAAACGACATCGTTTGTTCAACGAGCCGAGTCAAATTCGAGTATTGCTGAGCTCGACTCAAACTCGAAAACTTTAAAAGTAAGCTCAACTCTACTCAAAAACTCACGAGCTAAAAATTATCAACTCGAAATATAATATTAAAACTTGAAATCGAAAAGGCTCGAACTCAAAAAAAAATTTAGAAGTTCGATTGAAGCCTAAAATTTGAGCTCAATTGAAGCGAAAGAATAGTTAGCTTTGTGCTCACCAAAATGCTCCATGATTTTGAATGTCAAATTACCTCTATTATTTATAGAAGTAAGTTGGGATGCTCTTCTATGTTTCTTAGCCATGTGAGATTGTTTTGTTTTCATATTTTTACTCTTTAAACTTTTGGGATACTCTTCTATGTTTTTTAGTCATGTGGGATTGTTTTTTTTTAAACAATTAAACCAAATGACATCATTTGTTATGATTTTTTTAAACCCTAATTTTATTTTTTGATTATAGTTATATAATTATATTTATTATTGAATATGTTTTACCTTAAATATTATGTTGTAGTTGATTTGAATCATTTTGTTTCACTTGATTTTATAGTTTTTCATTTATACATGTTATGACTTGTGATATTTTTATACCTTTTAATATTGTAAACTTAAAAAAAGTGTTACATATATATTAATATTGCTTTGAATATTATGTAAAATTAAAAAAATATATTATTTTATATAAAATCCGGTTCAATCGCGGTTGAACCAGTGAACCAGTGAACCAATACCTTCACCAGTTCAATGTCCGGTCCGATTTTGAAAACATTGCATAAATCGTTTTGAGATGCTAAAATTGAAGCCTAAAATTTGAGCTCAATTGAAGCGAAAGAATAGTTCAATTTCTGCTCACCAAAAGGCTCCATGATTTTGAATATCAAATTACCTCTATTATTTATAGAAGTAAGTTGGGATGCTCTTCTATGTTTCTTAGCCATGTGGAATTGTTTTGTTCTCATATTTTTACTCTTTAAACTTTTGGGATACTCTTCTATGTTTTTTAGCCATGTGAAATTGTTTTTTTTTAAAAAAATTAAACCAAATGACATCATTTGTTATGATTTTTTTAAGCTCCAATTTTATTTTTTTGATTATAGTTATATAATTATATTTATTATTTAATATGTTTTACCTTAAATATTATGTTGTAGTTGATTTGAATCATTTTGTTTCACTTGATTTTATGGTTTTTCATTTATACATGTTATGACTTGTGATATTTTTATACCTTTTAATATTTTAAACTTAAAAAAAGTGTTACATATATATTAATATTACTTTGAATATTATGTAAAATTAAAAAATATATTATTTTATATAAAATCCGGTTCAACCGCGGTTGAATCCGGTTAAACCAGTGAGCCAGTACCTTCACCGGTTCAATGTCCGGTCCGGTTTTAAAAACATTGTTTATAACTAAGCCTACCCCACAGGATAAAATCTAAAAAAATGGCAACTTAATTTAAAGTTAAAAAATGACTGAAATAGATACAATCAAAAATATATAAAAAAATATGGTATTTACTTCAAAGCTAAAATGTTATGTTTATTGCACTTATTTTGGTTGTTTTGTAACTTAAATTAAAATGCCGTATCCCTTACCCATCATGCTATGACATTTACTTCCACATTTCATTTTCATGCGCAAGTCCCCTCCTCACTTGTCGCTTCATCTTCAATCCCTTTTTCATTACCTCTTGTTGATCTCTCAGGCTACCTTCAACATTTAATATATATATATATATATTATCTGTTCATTGTAACTAATGATTTTTTGTCTTTCTCATAAATTCAAGCCACATGGTCTGAATATAGAAATCATACACAGTTGTCAAAAAGAAGGGCTGACCATTTGTTCTTGATGTTCCATCTTTGTCATGGTAACGTTGGTTGTTACATGCAGCGTGTGCAAGATCTGATCTCATGTTCCTTGTATAAGTTTTGCCCTAATTAATAACGTTTAAAATTCAATAACAATTTGTTTTCAAGAAGAAAAAAAAAAGAAACTTGAGCATTGTTGGAAGAGCATATGTGCTAGCTGTATTCGTCCTTGATGCAGACACAACTCCTAATTCTCCACTGACGATTTTGGCATTTCTACATGTGCTACTGTGGAATCATTACTTCGGGTATCTGATCAAATCATTTCACTCCAAGTTTCAATTGAAGGAATAATATAAAAACCTGCACCCCGGATCATATTTACAAACAGACTCCAGTTTTCATTCACATGCAGCATCAGGAAATTTATTAATAAAGTAATTATTTTAATATTTAAAGTAAAAAGTTTATAATTATGTTTTTTTATTACTGCTATACGTAATTTTTGTCGATATTAACAAAGAAATTTAATTTGATTAACACTAGTGAATTTAGGTTTTTACCACTACACGTCACCCTTCATTTTATTCGTTAATGGAAGGCGTTGTAACTATACATGAACAATACTTTTTCAGTTATTTTGTTTAATTATAAATTAAGATGTGGATAATGGCATACAATAAAAAAAATAACATCTGAATCCAAATTGTAAAATTAAATAAAAATAAAGAAAGCATCAATTGCATATAATATAAATTTATCAATCATGGTGTTTGGAAAGAAAGAAGAGGCCAAGTGGCGAACAAAATGAAGAGGAAATTGAGCATCAGCAACATCAGATTGTACGAATTTGGGCCATGCCTCAGGTCGAAGCTTGATGGGACTCATTATTATTATTTTGAATACTTTCCTATTCCTTCATATCTATTTAATAGAAAGGATAACCTTTTCAATAAAATATTACAGGGCACCGTTAATATATTTTAGTATTCTGTATTCATATAAAATGTTTTATTTTCACATGTGAGATTAAAACGATAACAAATTATCGTTTATTCAATTTTTAGGCTCAATATTAATTTTAACCTCTTTATTTTAATAAAATTTTAATTTTATTTTATTTTTTCGACTAATTTAACTCTTCGATTTTCATTCTATCTATGATCGTTTTATATTTTAAAAAGGTTAGGTGCTTCAACTCTTTTGATATTAACCTGGCCAATAATTTGTTTTAATATTGCTTTGATATCATATTCATTCTTATAAACACGTTCACGGTAACATTTTTATGTATAAAATACATCAACCAATGTCATGTAACATTTCGAACATGCTCTATTCAGGAAGTTCATATTATATAGGGTAAACTATAAGTTTAGTACCCTAACAATAACTTTTATTGTATTTTGGTTCTTCAATTATTATTTTTTCTGAAATCATTCTAATGTTACGTCTTGATTCCATTTTAGTAACCGCTATTAAAAAATTAATAGAACTGTTGATGTGGTATTTTATTTGTTTTTTAAGGATAACGTGACATTACCTTATAGTAACATGTCAATATCATCATTAATTTTCTAACAGTGGGTGATCAAAATGAAACAAAAACGTAACGTTATGTATGATTTAGAAACAAAAATAGTTGGGTGATCCAAACGGAACAAAAGTGATAGTTGGATGTACTAAACATGTAGTTTACCCTATTATAGTATTCAATTATTAGAAGGTAGTATTTGTTCATAATCTTTCTTAATTATTAATAACGCAGACACACCATGCATATACAATTACCCGAACTCAAAAATTCTAAAATGAATAACAATCCATTTTACCATTGAAATCACTTTAAAAATTAAATTATAATTACTACTTTAATTTAAATACATTATACATATCTTTTAGAACATATAACAAGCATGGATGCATATAAACAATCGTCAATTCCTTATTTTAATATTTTTAATAATTATATATTTTTTAAAATATTCAATAGAAAACTTAAGATTATCTAACTCTCGAAAGAAAGATTCAAAGAATTCATTTTCACACTTTATGAGTCATGCAAAATGAATAATTTTTCAATTTCTCTTTTTACAAAAAAGACAAAATAATGTTATTTTATCATCTTGACACCTCATCATCCAATCCAAAACTAATGAAATCCATTACTTTTAGTTGCATGAGAAGAAAGATATTCAATAGTTCATACTCTGACAGTTCTTAATAAAACTGAGATCGTTCTACGAAATGATGAGTATAATTTTTTTTATTTAATTTTTTTAAGTCTAATGATCGAAAAATCATTTTCACGATTTAAACATTTATTTTAATCATTATAATTATTGATAAATGTGTTTAATTTGGTTAAGCTCATTAGATTTAAATGATGGATTAATTTAAAATTAAATTAAAATTTGACGAGTGAAATTGAAAAGCTAAAGATCAAATTGCAAAGTAAACAAAATTTATTTATTTATTTATTAAATTAATATTTTTTTCATTTACACGATAAAATTATTTATATTTTTTATACATTAACAATTCGCATAAATCATATTTGAGTTGAAATAATAAGAAGATAATCGAATTCCAACTTTACTTGAGGGCTTCAACTAGTTAGATTCTTCCTGGGTAGTTCTCACGTAATTGTTTGAACCAGTGTTAACAGGCCACATCAGCTGGACCTCTTTGATGCTATACCAAAATATAATAACAAGAAATAACTATTGGATATTAAGTATTTTTCTTTTTCAAATCCGAAATTTTCGATGCTGTTTTTGGGTCAAATTCAAATGTCTCAACTCGCTCCGTATTTCTCTCTCATTTCGTCTCGTCTCCCTTTATATCTCTCTCTCTCTCTTTCTCTCTATATATGTCTCTCTGTATGTGTGTGCATAAGTAATGGATATGGGAGAGATACATAAACAGTCGTTGTTTGCTGATGTGGCATCATCAAGATTCACATGTAAATGCACGGTGGTGATAATAACCTTCTTCCCCTTCCAAACTTTATTGCCAAAGATTTTTGAAAGTGAGAATCTTGATGATGCTGCATCGGCAATAAACGACTATACACAACAAGAAAAAATAAATATACCGTTCTCTCGAGGTATCCATCTCAGTTGCAAATGTACTGTTTTGCACTTCTCAACAAAATCAAGTTGATTATTTTCTTCTTTTTCTTTTTCTGTTGTTGTCAGGTGAGTAGAGTAGTTTTCTTTTATACTAATCTTAATTTCATGGGGGTAATCTTTAACTAATATGAAGGGTATCCCCTTGAAGTGTCGACTTACCTAGGGTGTTTCCAAAGGTTTTTGACTTGCAGATCTATGACTGTTCTTCTAAATCAATAAGTTGCTACAGTGGAAATGGGTACTTTTTCATGGAAACGGACTGTGGCCTACTATGTCAAAATGGTGAACTTTTATGGTTAATCCATTTCTTTCCTTCTCTTGTTCTGTTATCTTTGATTGTTCCAACAAAAGGAAATTAGATCCATTCATTTACTCTGCAGATCTTTGATTTCGTTAAAGATATTTGCCGGCGGGATTGCAGATGTGCAAGCATCACCAGTGTTGGTATATATTAGACTTAAGAGAAAGGAGGTATATATTAGATTTGTTTGTTTATAGGGATTTGATGATATCAGCTAAATAGCTCACTGCACAAGTTTTGGTTCTTTTCACCACCTTTGTCCTCACTAGGGAAAAGATTCAAAAACGTATTTGATTAAACACTTGATAAAAAAAATAGTTTAGTGTACGAACCCAAGTGGATTTTATCTGTAGAATCACAAATCGTTGAAAAATGGAAGTGATGTCCGGAACTTCAAATGTGGAAGAGAGATGGTGAGGTTTTCGTGAAGATGTCATACAGTCGTGGGAATTTCTTCATATTTAGCTTGAAGACGCATGAAACACCTGACTTCTTTAAGTTGATACTGTGTAATTCACTATAGATTGAGAAATAATTCTCGGGTGGATTATATTGGGAAATTTTCCCCTTGTGCTGGCAAAAATGGCTGAGTAAATGATGTGGGGGGAAAATTCTCAATATAATCCACCCGAAAATTATTTTCTCATCTAGGGTGAATTACACAGTACCAACCTAAAGACGTCAGGTGTTCCATGCATCTTCAAGTTAAATATGAACACTGCATGACGTCTTCAGGCAAATGAAGAAGACCCCACGACTGCAAGACATCTTTAGGTAAATGGAGAAAATCTCAGGAGTGCATGGCACTTTTAGACTAATAAAAAGCCCTAATTCATGAAACAATATGGTTGAAGGAAAAATTATTTTTCCCATAACCGTTTATGGGCGAGTAAGCCTTTTGTGTTTGATAGCCCTTTGGCATCAATCAACCATCCCTTCTTGTTGGTGGACCGTCCGCCAGAGACGCATCCTTGCAACTTGGACCCTCAAACATATTGTCTCTTTCTCTCTGATCAATTTCAAGACTATCCAGTCCCACCGATTCCTCATCCCTTTCAATAATACACGTAACCCATAATATTTTTTTCATATAAGTGTCTAAATCTGCTTCTTCGATCATGAAAGGGATGATTCGAGTGTCTAAAAAGTTATGGAAATCTGTGTGCCTCTATCACTTTCCAAGTTGTAGGTACTTGTATATATATTAATGGTATATACCATAGTTTCTTTCAGCTTCGTTCTTTACTGCATTAATTGTAAGCCAAACTGATACGAAAAGTTTGGCCCACTATTGATTATCTAAACTCTTACAAAGATCTACTACAATATACCCGTATTATCAGTTACTAGTTCTGCAAAAATCCTTTTTTTAAGTCCGTTCTTCTTTAAAGAGAAATAAAGCTTTAAGCAAGAAAATAACAGTCAGTACTACGTCTTTAACTCGCGTGTTACAATGGGATTTAGGCTTATAGGTTTTATTAAGCTCTTAGAATTTATGCACACACACACACACACCACATCCTAGACAAGTTCTTACTGGTTTCTCCTGGAGTCAGTTTCATGGCAGAAAAATCTTTCAGGTGTTCTTTCTTTTTGGGGTTCAAACTTTCAGGTTTTCTGGGTAAATGCTAAATAGCAAGAATTAAATGTGGAACTTTGTAACAAGCCTGTCTTCGAACTCGAGCCTTTATCTTTGTTTGCTTCTCCAATATAATCTTTAATCAGTTAAGTAAGATCCCTTTACTTCTCCCCCGTGAGTATGTGACTACAGCAACTCATCATCCTCCACCTATCATCTTAGGTCATAGACACCTTCTCTCCAAATTTTATGGCTGTCCCTTATTCGGTTTTTGAACATTATATATATATTTACAAAATTTGTTATTATTATGAACTTTTCTTTGGTCCATTATAACTTTTGGGAAGGAGATACCATTGACAGGCCTTGAACCCTACCTTTGAGTTGTCAATAAAGAGCTTTAACAATGCCCCATTGGGTTGTTGGTCAGAATGCTGCATTGCTGCTTACGGAGCCTAAAATCTTGCAATCAATGGAAATACTTGCTTGAGAAAAATCGTTCTGAAATTTTAATGCTCTTATTATACAGCTTTGAGTAATACTCAAAGAGAGATGTTTTTCACTTCTGTAACGTTTGGCCATCATGTGGTCTGAGATCATTGCTATTCTTGGACTTGTCCTGTACTGTTTTCATTAGATTAATAGAATCAAATTTTAGCTGGGAGAAAAAGGTGTGTTTGGTAATTATCTCATCGTTTAATCTTATTAATCATCAGAACTACAGATGACCATGGATTAAGTAATTGAAGTCTCATCTCATCATCAATACCTCAAAAGAAAGATTGACAAAGGATGCGTAGATATCGTACAATGGCTGCAGCTACAGGAAGCACTATACATTTACTTATATTACTGTTCTCACTAAATATGTGGGTTTGCTAACTCGAAGCTTGTTCGTTATTATACTTTTATCAGATATGACAGACTGTATATATATGGATATTTTCCTTATCAACTATTTTCATGCAGATCTGGAAATCTGGAGTACTAGTCTATTCTCAAGAACCGCGTATGCCTATGGCATTGATTTTGTCTTTTCTTAGTTATAGGAACCAAGTTGAATAAAACATAACTAGTGCAGCAGTAATGTTAAAAAGACATCTAATTATGGGATCAACCTGATAACATTAGTATTTCTCTCAACAAAATATTTCACAGTAATGATTTCTCTATACATGGCCCTACTACTTGGTAAAACGCTTACTTGCACTGAGATTCCAAGTCATGTCTAATAAGCTGTCAGTTAGTACACTTATTTTTATTTTCGGTTCTTTTGCTGAACCACTGCCGTGATGGTAGTTGTGCTTCCACCCAAGTTTTCATTTAGGTGTTTCTTCAATAATTATGTTTTAGTCGTTTCTTACTGTTTGCAAAGCATATATAGGAACTGGAGCTCCTGGATTAGACATCTTTCAGAAACTTCATCGAAAGCTGGATGATTCATATATATTTCAGTAACTGATTTTGAATTTGCTTAACGTGATATTGATATGCTATCGGTATATGTTTCCTGCTTAGACTCCTCCATGCATGATGTATGACACAATGGGATTAGACATTTAAAGCACGCTGTCGCTGCTTTACCTCTCTCTGGTGCTCTGCAAATTTTTGTGAAGATTGTGAAAGAATGATCCAAAGCTTTCGTTGAATGGATTCAGAAAAGCCGAAATGGACCCGAAAATGTTGAAATATGGTCCATGTGATTGAAGCGGGCGGCGGCGGCTTTTACGTGGCAGGCATGCAAGTTAAGGACTAGCAGCCACAATAAACCAATATATTATGCCCCTTCTTGAGATTTAGCCACAGCCGAGTAAAGAAGTTGAAGTAGGACAAAAAACCAAGGTGCAACAGCCCAACCCAGCTGAGAAGTGAGAAGACACCTTAATTCAATTTCATACTATTATTTTTTATAAACAATATTAAGCAAAAACATTTTTAAAAATAATAATAACAATTAATTGTATTAAATGAATAAAGAAGAACATAATAAAAGTTTATAAACTCGGGAAAAAAGTTTATTACATTTAAAGTCATCAATCATGAAAAAATAAACAAATAGTTTAATAATGAAAACTTTATCCTGTGAAAAATAGTTAAAAAATTGTAATCAAATGACTTAAAATAAAAAAATACAAACAAACACGATTATCAATAGTAAATAGTAAGCACATGAATATTAATATAATAATAAAAATATAACAACACGTTAAAAATTGAATTTATCAGAACTCAAACAGACCATATATGGAATATATGCAAGCAACTTTCAATATAAGAGACCATATAAACTATCATTATCTTCAAAATCTTATCCTATATTTTGAATTCAAGAATCTTACAAATTTTCCAATAGGTTATAATTTCAATTCTAACACTTCATACTTCTTACTTTAGCTGATGACAAGTCAAATTTAGTTTCAAATTCTACTTATTAATTCTCTTCCAAGATTTCACTTATAAACCCCTCATCTTTAATCATTCCTAACTCCTTCATCTTTTGATTTTAAGATAACTTAATCTTTCCTTAAGCTTAAGTATCATCTAAGGAACATAACCCAAACTTAAATTCAATTCAAAATCAGCTAACAAGAAAATTTACCTTTGCTTATGGTAACTCACGACTGGAAGAAGAATAAGAAAAAGAAAAAGAAGAAGAAGAAGAAGAAGAGTTCTCTGGATATTTCCTTTTCCTTTCCTTTTAAATATCCACTTGTATATATCCTCACCATATCAGATTTTTAATTCATTTCTTGGTCAAATGACCATTTTGCCCTTCCAATCATCCTTCTTTGCTATTTAATCTTACACAAAATTTTCCATATAAGCCCTTAAACTTTTCAATTTACCTACTTTAGTCACTAAATTCTGAAGTTTTACAATTTGGTCACTAACACGGTGTTTGGGATGTTATAGAGAACTAGTTAAAAGATCCAACAATGATCAAATCAACAAGATAACCAAATAAATACCAATATAAAAATTGACGATGAATTCAATTATAATATTTTTTTAATAAAATTAAGATAAAACGTGTTACTAGAACATACAAAAATATCAGTTATTTTTTTTATGAAAATGAAAATTTTATTAAATAAAATAAAACAAGGACATTTATAAAACAAAACTTATAAATATTAAAATAATATTTTAATATTTTATATTAAAAATGAAAATGTATAATTGTTGTATATATGAGGTCATATATTTGCTGTTAATGTTTATTTAATATTTTTTTTATAAAAAAGTAACAATTTATTTTTTTAGAAAGATGAGGATTAAATTTAAGATAAAAAGAATTAAATCGATAAAAATGTAAATATTAAGATTTTTTTGGGGTAGAATTTTTGTGAGGGTTTGGGGTGAAAACAAATGAAGAGTTGGCTTGAAGGTTGGAAATTAGGCTCAGAAGTGTAGTCGAGTCCAGTTCGGAACTCCAACTCCAAATGACTCTCCAAAACTTCCTCAAAACCCTGAAAACTGCTAAAAGATCCTCCGCTTCAACCCTTCCTCCAAAACCTTATCAACACCTACCCCACCTTATCTCCCAATTCCTCACTGCTTCTAAGCCTCTTGATTCCTCTACTCTTCCCCATCTCGATTCCACCACTTTCCATGATATCCTCACAAACCCACATCTCAAAGCCTCCAAATGCTTTCGTTTCTTCAATTTGGTTGTCAATAACCAATCTATGCTTTCCTTCAAACCCGATCTTCAGGATCACTTGACCCTTATTTCTAGGCTTGTAAAAGCCAGGTTGTTTGCCGATGCTGAAGCTCTGATGAAAACTGTGTCGATTGATGAGAATCTCAGGTACCCTTTTCTTGTTATAGCCTCTGGTGTTGAGAATTTATGTGTCGACTCTAAAGTTACTGCAAAGTTTTTTAATTTAATGCTTAAAGTTTACTCTGATAGTGGGAAATTCAGTGAGGCATCAAAGGCTTTTGATTTTATGAAGGATAATGGGATTAAGATTGACGAGAGAACTTGTACTGTTCATTTAAATGCTCTTAAGAAAGCTGATGAATTGGGGATGGCTTTAGATTTCTTTGATCAAATGGTACAAACAGGTCTTGCGATTTCTGTTTATTCATTGACATCTGTGATTGATGGATTGTGTAGAAATGGGGATATAAAGAAAGGCAGAGAGTTAATGGAGGAGATGTCCGGCAGAGGGATTAAAGGCAATGTAATAACTTATAATACCCTGATAGATTCATGTGCAAAAAGATGGGACTTTGATGAGTTGGATTTAGTGTTAGGTTTGATGAACAAAGCAGGAGTAGGTTTTAATGTGGATACTTATAAATTTCTGATAGATGGGTATACAAGCTATGGGAAAATCGAAGATGCAGAAAGGTTAGTCATGGAGATGCATGTTGAAGCTTTGCAAGTTGATGCTTATTTGTATAATTTGATGATAAATGGGTATTGTAAATTAGGATCAATGGAGAATGTGTTATTGTTGTTAGGTAGAATGAGCGATAGAGGCGTAAAGCCAAATGCTGATACATATTGGCCTATAATAAATTGGTATTCTAAGATTGGAGGAATGGAGATGGCAATGAAGTATGTTAGAGAGATGCAAATGATGGGATTTGAGTTGGACAAGGATATGTATGATATGTTGATCGATAGGTTTTACCGAATGGAATGGCTGGTGAAGCTTTTGAGTTGCAAATCGAGATGGAGAGGAAAGGATTTCATGCTGATATATCATTATGCAATCAGATAGGGGAACTATTGTGTGAAACTAATCAGACTGAGAAAGCAAAGATGCTGGTAAACATAATGATTAAAAGGGGTAATGCCCTAAGACGGTAAGCTTCGCATCTGCAATCAGTTAATGTTGCTGCTTCATGAGATGCACAATGTTACTCATGACTTGGTACTTTTTATTTGGTTGAGCATTTTGTATTAGATGCATCTAAGTGCTCCAATGCCAAGTGTATACAATGTTAATGTAGAATTCAATTTTTGATGATGCTGTTCTCCTGCCTATAAATTTCTGCAATAAAATGTGTACTCCTATTTCATACTAGTCAATGGGCATTTCCACTTTTAAAGATTTGTTTTCTGCTTGGTTTTTCTGTTAGTTCTTGATGTTCACTTAATGTTTTCGTTCTAGTGAGTATATAATGTATCGATATTTCAATCTTTGTTGCTTGGCATTGCCAGCCAAAGACACCTCATGTGCCGTATCAAAGATTATGGTGAAATTTCTTCCTTCCAGTATATAGTACCTTAGAAGTTGAGAAGTTCTCATCTAGTATGCTTGTTGCATCGCACTTGATGAGTTTTTGATAAAATGGTATCCTGAAGTTGAATCCTCACTTTTTATTTTCCTGACCGAAAAAAAAAAATCTTTTCCAAATTATATACACTTAAAAGGCTTGTTCATTATTCCTCGCATATCAACGACCTGATCAACAGAGAATTGTATTTCAGTTTCTCTTTATTCCTCACAAAGGAAACAAAGTAGCGGATGCGATGTCGAAGATGGTATGGGGATTACCGCACGGACTTCAGACATAAACACAATCACCGGAAACTGTCAAGATGCTGCTGCAAGAGTAGGCGTTTGTTTTTTTTAGATGTTTAAGTTTACACATTCAAAAAAATAAAATAAAAAGGGTTGCTCATTGTGTTATGTCCCTGATTTGCCCTTGGCCAAAACAAGCCTTTGTACAAAATTTGCTCGTGGAATTTGTCAGCAAGTTATAACAGAACATTAAAGCATCATAATGCCATTTCCCGTCATGCAACAATACCATACAGCATCAGTATAATGAGAGGAGAAAATGGCTGGAAAGATTTGGTACTTAAATTAGTGATTACAAGCCACGAAATGGTACATGAACAAAATTGCTTAGCGACCTTGGAATGCTGAGGGAGTGTTTCATCGTTTGTACGTTGCCTAAAGGTGACAATCCCATGTCATTCTTCTCCATAAGCACCGCAGGGAAATAGCAGAGTGGCTCAGAAAACTGCTTTGCTCCACTTTCAAGGAAGAGGTCCAAATTCTTGTTATATTGATCCCCTCCAGTGTGGATTGCTTGGTCCCCAGAAAATGGCATTACTATATCACGAGGGAATTCTTCATCATCTGAGCAGTTGCCATTCTCCTGCACGTCCTGCATTGCCAGGTCATCATACTCTTCATCTGACTTTGTTGAGCCTTCATCAACAGAACCTACCTATACAACAGAAATAGACAAAATTTTGAGTAAAATCCTCCCACAATCTTAAAGCACTATATAAGACCTTATTTCATCCTGAAGACCACCAACTAGACAGCAGAACCTAATGGCATTTCAATCATCCAACTTTCGTAAAATGTATCAATGAAACAAGCTTACAATGTGGATTAACTACGTAAACAATGAACTAATAAGAACTACTCTGGGTATGATTGCATAGCAGTTTGTGATACCTTTGCAAATAATCTCTAAATTCAATGTCGTAATGATATATATTTTTCACCTTTTGGAGAGTCTAACATGACTTCATACCTCTTCATGGAGCTGTTTGTCACCTTCATCACTAAAATCCTCATCACTGTCCACCTCAGGTGGATCGTCAACTTCTTCATCGCTGCCATACACCGAACTTTCCTCCTTTAACTGTAATATAAAAATAGAATCAATAGACCGAGCCTAATATAAGAAAGCTAATAAATTAAGATTAGTAGCAATAAAAAGGTTTTTTATTTCATCTAATTCGACATATGCGCATCAAAGCTAACTACAAGCACTGGAAAAGAGTATTAAAAGAAAAGCACTCGATGTAAGATGCTACCTCCTTTGAAGGACAATTAGACATCCTCGGTGAGCTGCAGCACGAAGATTGGTATCTACTTCCATTATCAGTCCCATCAAATCTTGACTCATCTACACTTCCAGCATGACTTGTTCCACTATCACTAGGCCAGGCACTAATTCCATAGTGACCAAATTGAAGATTAACAGGTTCGGCCTTGCCAATTGTTAACGGTCCATACAAGGGAACCCCATTACTATCAAGGGATTCAACTGACCAAGCCTTTGCCACAGATCCATCGATGTTAAGAAGAGCCATTAGTCGCCTAGAAGAACCATTCCTCTGGATCAACTGAAACATACCCTTGGAACTGAGTGAATTGGCAGCACACTGATTCCAGTATTCCTCATCAACAACAACAACAGTATTTGTTATAGGATCATAGAGTTTCTCCCCAGCTTCAAGCCTACGGAGGCAACTGAAAACTGTTGCATGTATGGCCGCCACACTTTTGTCAACATTTGTGTTGTTTATTTTGGGGACGTAATGCTTGTCAGCACGATTACATAGATAATCTTGTATCGTCCTGATATTCCTTATATACTTCACATATTTATTTTTAGCAGGATCCAATGTCATGTACTTTGCACGAACTGCAAATCTTTCCAAGTGTTTGTCTTCATTTGTAATGTATATCATGAATGGTATGATTGAGGGGTGTTTCTTCATAAGCCCCATCTGCACATGAAGAACAATAAATAAATTTATATTAAAAAAAAACAAGGTGAGGGTAATGAGCACATTTGATAGAAGGGAATCAGCACATTTGATGGAAGGGAATCAACCATATGTCCACTTACAACAAAATTAAGGCTTAAGTGAACACCCTCGACTACTACAGACTCTTTCCTCTCTTCCCATGCAGTAATTAGTCTGTCTAGACTGTCAATAACCATTTCACTTTGGGCCTTGAATCCTTCAACTGCCATATGTCTGTGGCCAATCAATTCAGTACTAGTAGAACTACCCTCCACTGGTCGGGCATCAGATTTTCCACCTGAAGAACAATCAGCTAGCTCACTCTGAGAAGGTGACTGAGAATTGCCAGCCAACTTTTTTGCTCTTTTTTTAGCCTTAGCTTCTGCAACTGCCACAGGATCCAAACACTCCCCAGCATGGTAGGTTGAAGACCAGAGTAAAGGATTTTCCTTCTCATCTACGAAACTCCTCATCATGTGGCGAATAGAGTCAGTTGAAATCACAGTTGTAATTCCCAACCTGCTACCCTGCACGACATGATCCAAAGCACTAAGATTACATGAAGATTAGTTGGGACCGCTAGAGCCAACCAATATTATTATGCAAAACAAACATACCAGCAAAGCAGACAAAGTAGATTTGCCACAACCACTAGTGCCACACAACAACACAGTAACAGATTCCTTCCTCTCTCGGATTCTGCAGTGAAGACCTAACAGAGTTACAAGGGGAGATAATACATGTTCCATTAAAAAAATTATGGAATACTTGTGATGTGATAATGGAGAAAATCATGCTTGAGTAGACTATCTATTGAAATACATTTTACAAATATTTTGTCATGTCAAATAAGGCAAAATAATGAAGTGTGAAATACCCATCTCCAAGCAACCATAATCAACTCTAAAAATTTGCAAGAAAATATGAAATTAGAGGAATAGATGCATATGCTCAAGCAAGAAATTAATTTATGCCGCGCATTATTGAAATTTCTTTTGCTAAGTACGAGATGTAATACAATACCTGCATGCCAAAACCAGGTCAGCCCTCTGGTTTGGACCAACATACTTATATTCAGCCAGAGCATCACAGACAACATCTAAGAAAGTTTCTCTTTTAACAATTATCGATGTACGTCTTTTGTACAGCTCAAATGGTATATGCTTATTTCTACCGTTGCTGTTAGAAGCTAAATAGCTGCCTTCCTCCGCTCTACAAACGTCATCAAAGGTAGGACAGACATCTTTCTTTTCAGAGTTACCTTTCAAACCATCATTATTGCATATCTCACTTTTTATCAATTCAAAAACCCTCTTGCTAATCTAGTAAGAAATACAAAGACTGCATTCAGCAAAAGGATCCACTTTCCATTACAGCTAAGGAACACGAGAGAAACCATTAATGTGAGGCTAGAAAAATAAATAAGAAATGACATATCTCGACAACACCAGAATAAAATAAAAGCAGACAAGAATTAAAGAAATGACCAAGCCCCAAACTCAATGTGCATACATAAATGAAATAATTGTTTCAAGTATCACCCTCTCACTGAAAATGATAATGAGGGCTTCTATCTCCCAATAGGAAGCAGAAGGTAAATTACAAACAAAAATAAAACAGATAACATGCATATCATCAGCCAAGCGAATCACTCAATGGTAAAGGGACCACAAAGTAGAACGAGATTCAGTACGCGGAGATGACAACAAAAATGGAAACAGGTCAGAATCAATTCCATCTTAATTGATTTCGACCAGTTGCAAAAGTGTGAAAACTTTTGCAGAAACAAATAGGAACCTAAGAAACTAAGCCATTCAAGTACCTCGTTTTAGAGGTTGAATGAGAAGCTATATTCGGCCAAAATTCTATGACAACTACAGAATGTTTATTCTTTGACAAACGGTAGCAAAAAAATGCTACTATAAGATTGTTAAATTTTGTAAATTGACTCGGCATTATAGCTAAAAAGCATGCAAAATTGGAAAGGAATTTATAGAACATGTTATAAGAAATCCAGATCTATCAATTCATCATCCACGCTTTTCTTTATTATTTTATAACTATAATTTATCAATCAATCAAAAAGAAAAGAAAATAACTAATATATACGAAGAAACCGTAATTCAATGAAATCAACGAAATTGCCAGAAGTTAAAAAAAAAACAAAAACAAAAACCTTGAAGGCATGACGAGCTTTGCAGCCCATGAGTTGGAGAGTGCTTTGAAGGACGGAGCGCGTGTATCGGAACGACGACGTCTCCTGCTTCTCACCTTCCTCGACTACCACTATATACAACACCTTCAGTAATTCTCCCATCATCTGTATCTCTACAACAAAACAAAATGGAACCAAATGTCAACTTTTAGAAATAACGAAATGTAAAAGAATCGATGAAGAGCAGTTGAGAAATCCAACCTGAAATTATATAGAGCGAAATTAGCCGAACGAGAGAGAGAGAGAGAGAGAGAGAGGATGGGCTATTAAGATTTGTTTTGCCTATAAATCGTCAAATGCTAGAGACGAAGAAAAGCAGAGGGAAATTATCTACAGCAATTTCTTGATCGAGTCATCATGCGAGAAAACAGAGTCCTTTATTTCCTACTTTTTCTTTCTCTTTAACTTTAAAGCAAAAAGAAAAGAAAAAACAATCGGAGGAACAATTAAAGGGGAACGGAAAAGACTGGCGTCACCTTCTGTCGGAGAAGGAATTACGATTTGCTTCGGATAGCATTGTAGTGAGAAGAAGGATATTTATATTTGTAAACTGAATCGGGGTCGAGTGTGGGCCCCTTTTCTAATTGGCACGTGTATGGAGCAGTGGCAATTGAAGTAAATCCAAAATAGGCTTTAAAGATTAAAAATATCTTGGTCTGATAACTCAAAAAATTGATATTTTATTAGATTCGATTTAAAAAATTAATTTATCGACTTAAATCGATTTGATTTGACTTCAAATTGTAATTTCATAAATTTGATTTAGACTAAAAAAAATTTAAATTTAAATCAAGTTATAAAATAGAATTTGAATAACTCAAAATTTTTAGTAATTAGTAGATTGATTTTTAAATATGATTCGATTCCTTAACTATGTATAATATATGTATATCACATATAAAAAAATAAGAAATATATATATGTATTATATATGGTTATAGAAAAATATATAAATTGAAATAAAATAACATCATAATATTATAAAGATTTACAATTAGATTTAAACAAAAATTTGAACAAATCGTCTCAAAAAAATTTAAATCAAATTTGAGTTATAAAGTATAACTCATCAACTCTTATAATTCAAAATCTTTTAACTCGATTTAACTCGACTCAACCATCGCTTACTTAAAATCCCCATTGTCTTTTTTTTTAAGGTGTAAACTTTTCCAGATTGTTAAAGTTGTTTCATCAACAATTTTATTGTAAATCAATGACAAGTAAAGTCTATAATAAACATTATTAAAATTTTCAAACGACTTTTAACTACTCAATTTATAATTATATCATTTCATTATTGATTTAAATGACTTTTCATATCTGTTGGCTCTAATTGTTATGACTAGGCACTAACCCTTGTAGACATTGAGATAGACTTTGTTCTTTCAGTTTTTCTGTTGATGTCATTCTATGTTCCTGTTAATTTAAATTAAATTAAATTAAATTAAATATTATTATCTTTAGTTTTAAATACTTGATAGATGTGTATATTATCTTTAAGTATCACTCGATACATTTTCTCCTATAACTCTCAATCTAATACTCCATTATTTTAACTGATTATTAATGCTAATAATATTAGTTGTTTCTGGATAATTTCCTTTTGACTATATTTTATTAAAATAGCAAACCGTATATAGAGAGAAAGCATTATAATCAAGGGGAAAAGTGCAATGGACATAAAACATTATTGGTTGGCCAAATAAATTTTCCTTATTTTATTTATCTTTGGTCCGGTTTTAGTGTATACTTGATAGTTGGTTTTGTACAAGTTGAGAAAAATACCCCCAACTTTTCCCAGTTTGGCACCATGTAATTGTGCTTTGAGTTGCCGATCTGTGCTTTTTCATTTCATATTTTTTAGATGCAACTTTGAAATGGTCAAGGGGGTTAATGCAGTAGCCAGAATTTCAAAACTAGCTCCTTCTCCGAACGACTTTTAACTCATCGAAGACACTCAATTTCGTCTTTCGCTATTAATTATTATATTATATAATATTACAAATTATATTATAATTATATATATAATATAATTAATTTTATTTGCATTGTGCAGGCCTGATACATCTAATAAAACAGCCCAACGACCCACCAAGCAGGTAGCCCAAGTCCCGAACTGACTGCTGGGTAACTCACATCAGTTAGGTTGTTGAACCCCTATCCCCTCTACGCCGCAAGGAGCCCCGAAGTCCCCTTGTTCATCACGCCTTCCTCAGCCGCACTTCACGAATCCAACGTCCCCGTCAACAACACCAACGACGTGCACATGTGGAACTTCAAAACAACCACAAACAAATCGAGTTTTACTCGGATTAAAACTCTAAAAATAGCCTAGTTATTACTATAAAGCCATGTACTTAGAACACAATCACACACAATATACACGATATCGAGAGAGAAAGAAATCACAAGTGTATACGGAACATTGTTTTACACAGTGTTTTGAAAATCGGACCGGACTGACCGGTTCAACCGGGAATCGTTGCCTAGTCCGGTTCAATCTAGACCGGTTGAACCGCTACTAGTGAACCGGCCAGAACCGCTAAACCGTTCAAATCGGATCGGCTGAAAACCGGGAAAAACCGGAAAAAACCGCCAATTTTGTTTTTTTTTAAATAAACCAAACGACGTCGTTTGTTAAACGAGCCAAGTCGAACTGAGTATTGCTGAGCTCGACTCGAACTTGAAAACTTTAAAAGTAAGCTCAACTCTACTCAAACTCATGAGCTAAAAATTATCAAGTTCAACTCGAACTCGAAATATAATATTGAAACTTGAACTCGAAAAGGCTTGAACTCAAAAAAAATTAGAAGCTCGATTGAAGCCTAAAATTCGAGCTTGATTGAAGTGAAAGAGTAGTTCACTCAATTCTCACCAAAAGGCTCTATGATTTTGAATGTCAAATTACCTCTATTATTTATAGAAGTTAGTTGGGATGATCTTCTATGTTTCTTAGCCATGTGGGATTGTTTTAAAAAATTAAACCAAACAATATCATTTGTTATGATTTTTTAGCCCTAAATTTATTTTTTAATTATAGTTATATAATTATATTTATTATTCAATATGTTTTACCTTAAATATTATGTTGTAGTTAATTTGAATCATTTTGTTTCACTTGATTTTATGGTTTTTAACTTATATATATTATGACTTGCTTTGAATATGAATTGTGATATAAAAATGTATTTTTTATTAAATATTTTTGGTATTTTTATTTAATTTTTTAAATAATTATGACGTCGTCCGGTTCTTCGAACCGGTCAGACCGGTTCGACCGGTTGAACCAGTGAACCGGTAGCATGGCCGGTTCGCTAACCGGTCCAGTTCTGAAAACCATGGTTTTACAGATTCGAAAGAAATAAAGGTATTTTTTTCTGTTACCTTCGATTCAGCGTGTTCTTGGTTTGCATGCGGCTATCCTTTTTTTGTCTCTCAATTTGAAAAACACCAAAGGGACACTTTTTGGCCGATGAACGGGGAGGGCCATCGAGATCTATCTATTAGATCTTGCCCTCCCGAGACCGTTTTTGAAAAAACCATTCGGATATTCAAAGTGGGGAAGAGAAAAGCTTTTAAAAAAATGATTTTTTTTTGGGATTTACCGTCGATGAACGACGGTCGTCGTCATTCAACGACGGTGGTGGGGCGGCGCGGGTCGGCATACGCCCGATTTCTAGAGATGGTCGGCCCCTGTTCTTCATTTGGATGAGCAAGGGAGAGTATTTCGTAAGTGGAGAGGGGAGTGTTGTTTTGAAAACTTACCAAATGAAAGATTAAAAGAAAATTTTAGCTTTTATAGTTGGCCCACGAAATTCGTCTGTCGACCAGACCCAAGTAACCAAACCCACGTGTTTTCTAATAAAAGTGGGTAAATAATTGTTTTGATCCCTTTCATTTTTTAAAGAGACTATTTTGACCCCAAATCGAGTTTTCCCTTGTAATTTTTGTTCGATATTTAACACCCAACTTGCCCATCTTTTAATTTAGTCCCTTTCCCCTGTAATTTTTTTTCAAATATTATAATATATTTAATTATATATCTATATATATATATTAGTATTATTTTCTTTTTCTCTATTATTATTAATGCACATATTTATTCCTTATTAATTATTATTATTTTACATTATCCATTATATATATATATATATACGCATATTTCTTATACCTTATTTATATATATATTATTAATTTATATAGTTTTTAATTATTTTGTTTGGTTATTTCTTTATTTAAGTACTATATCCTATATTTATATATGTATAAGTTTTTCTATTATTTTTCTATTTTCATTTTTTACTATTATTATATCATACTATATTTTATTTTTATTTTTTCACTATATTTTTTATTATTCTTTTGCCTTTATTATTATTATTATTTATATATTTTTTATTACTATTATTATATGTTATATATATTTATTATTTTGTAAATTTCATTTTATCCTTTTTTATCTTTTTTTTTGCATTATTATTGTTATTATCTTCTTTATTTTATGCATTTTATTTATATATATATTTGTTTTTGTGTCTCTTTGATTTTTATTTATCTTGCATACATTTTCTTTACATGTTTTATTTTCTCTACTTTATTGCATTTATTTTTATTTCACCTTCTTTATTTTACTCATTTTTACTACCTTTTTATCTAACATAACTTTTGACTTTTAAAGGGTACATCTTCAATTAATCAGAGGTAAGTAATTTAGGATCAAATTTTACCTTTTAATTTAAAATTACAATTTTCTTAATTAAAGACAATTGGAAATTGTGTAGTACCGAAAGGGCAGTTCAATGGTACTAACCCTTCCTTGACTGTAACCGACTCCCGAATCCGACATATCACTAGTGAGATGTAGATCAGGTAAGGAATAAGGTATTCGATCTACCTATTTGTTTTAAAATAAAAGATCAGTGGTGACTCCAATCCATTTTCCTAAGTCGAAGCCCAATTTCAAGCCCAACCGAAAGACGGTTTCGACAACTTGGCGACTCGGTTGGGGACACAAGTAAGTGGGTCAGGCTAAGGTAATTTCCAGATGTCTTTTTAACGAAAAAAGTGAGTTTAAATTTTAAGGTAACATTTAGATCCTTATTGCTTATATTTGATTATATTTTCGAGTAAATAGTTGTACTAACCGCTAATGATTTCAGCCTTCCAAAATCGTTTTTTCCTCTAAGGATCTATACCCGAGCTCTAAACCCTATTTTAAGTACGGGTAAAAGCGATGCCTTCGTGTGAATTTATTCACTGTGCGGGCCTAGCAAGTAGCATTCGGGATTCATATACCTTATGTCTTCGTGTGAATTTATTCACCGTGCGGGCATAAGGGAATGTGTCATCTCGAGTTTAACTTAGTCCACACAAGCCTGTGATAGGTTCAGGACTAAGGGTCGGGCAAGCCCAAGGGGGCACCGGCAAGGAGAACTCAGGTACCGTGTTTTAGAACCTAAACCGGGAGACCATGGAGAATTAGAGCCTACCCCGAAACCACATTCCAAAACCTAGGATATTTTTACCCTAACCATCTTTTTTTTATGTTTTTTTCTCTTTCGTCATTATTTATTTATTTATTTATTTTTATTTTACTAACTTTTTTGCCTTTGTGTTTGTTTTCTAACATTTGCATCATAATAAGAGGCTATTGATCCCTAAAAAACATTTGTTATACATAAAATAATCCGAATTAATGGACAAAGATGTTGTAATACAAGAGATTGAAAACGTCGAGGCACGACTATGGTCCGAGAAGACTCAGAAAGAGAAGGGAGACAGTCTTCAGGGGAACTATGTGTCAGAGCTGGTTAGTTATGCCCCTGTCAGCCTGAAATAAAACGATGTCCAAGAGCTGGGAAACATTTGGGACAGTTGGAAGAATGGCAAAAAGTAGAAGTTCAGTCAACGATATGGTGATATTACCCTCTTCCTCTATTTCAAGACTGATGAGCCCCTGCTCCGAGCATTAATTCAATTCTGGAACCTGGGATGTAGTTGCTTTACCTTTAACTGGGAGGACATAGTGCCCACTATCGAAGAGTATACTACCCTACTGCACTGCGAAAGCATCAAACTAGAGAGGGCATATATCAAGCACATCAAGAGTTAGCCTTTCAAGAACGGACTAACTAAGATTGCAGGGGTTGATGAAAAATGGGTGACTGATTGACTCTGACACAAAGGTAACGGGGAAGGAATCGAGTGGATTCACATACGGCAACTAATGAAGAACCACCCTGATGAAAGGAAAACTATAGACCTTTTTGCACTGGGTCTATACAATTTGATTATCTTTCCGAAGACCCTGGGGTGCATCGACGCAGCTATGGTGGAACTATTTGAATAACTTCTAAGGCAAGTCAACCCAGCACCGGCCATCTTAGCCGAGACCTTTCGGTCCCTTAATCATTACAGAATAACTAGTGGAGGAAGGTTCATTGGGTGTGTTCAGGTCCTTCAAGTTTGGATTCACAACCACTTTTGGAAGACTAACGGGGTTGTCTACCGCCGATTTAGCACCACCTATTCACCTTTGGGAGAGTTTATCACTATGAAATGACATGAAGGCGCTACAAAAGAAAAATGGATGAAGGTCTTCACTCATCTTCAGGACCGGGATATTACCTGGAGAACCCCCTGGTTGTTCCTCAGTGACGTTCTTTTTCGGTGTGGGGATTCTGATACTATGACCTTACTTGGACTTTGGGGTGCATTTGGGTATGCTTTGTCATTGACACTTAGACAATATGGGGCACGTCAGTTCGTCCCGACTACATATGAATTATTTGCATCAGAGTTTGTGTACCATGGTGATAATTATAAGAAGATGATCAAAGAGGTAGCTGACTCATGGAAGAAAGTGTTCCGAATGGATATTGTGGCTGCTAGAGACATGCTTACTCCGGATTATATGGAGTGGCGAATATTGAGAAAGAATGATAACATCCTGGTGCCAGACTGTGAAGACACTCGGACCATGGAGAAACATCTCAGGCCTGTCCCTTCTGAACTTGAGATAGCCAAGACAGAGTTTGAAGATGTGAATAACGAGCTGGAGAATAGGATTAAGGAACTTGAAGCTGAACGTTATCAATGGAAGCTAGATACCAACTCTCAGAAAGATAGAGCAGACAAACTGGAAAGAGAACAAAAAAAGCCTGTTTTGAGCTCAAAGATTTGAGAAATGGGTATCAAGATAAAGTCAAGGATAACTCCAAGTTGAAAGTAACCTCTGAATAATGGAAATACGAAGCTCACAATCTGAAAATGAAGTTAGAGGGGCATGATGAAAGAGCTTGGAAGGAACAGCTGAAGATTGCTCAAAGACGCTTAGCAGACAGTCAACATCAGAACCAGCGCTTGAGAATCCGGGTGGCTGACTTAGAGAAACAACATGAGAGAGATGGCAAGACAATAGCTGAGTTAGAAGTTATTGTAGATGGATTCAAGAAACAAGCGAACGAGCTTCAGATAGTGCCCTTCGACGGAGGTTTACAGTGGCGTTTTTGTTGGGAGCAAGCACAACAAAGGGTAAGGGCCAGAGACGCAAACATCCGAGATTTTTTGGATCAAGTACAGAAAGTAGCCCGTCATCTTCACAGCCTGGCAAGACAATGCATTCAACCAGTGACAGATGAAGACAGAAGATTTGTCAATCTACTAAAATCTGTTCGGGGTCTAGAGTATTTAGTCCAGATGTACCTTTAATTTATTTTTATGTCTATTAAAAGATAAAATATTTTTGTCTAAATAAGGATTATTTATAATAATAGACATTTTTTCTGGATCAATGCCTCAAAATTGCATACATCATACATTGCATATCTTGCATTCTATATTTCATGTTTGTTTTTTTTATTTTTTATTTTCCATGTTTTTACATTCGTATTAACTAACAGAACATGTCTCAGACACCAAGCTTACCACCGCAAGCATTAGATACGCATCACCCGCACAATACTCGAGCAAAAAAGAGACAAATTGAGGCCAGAATCGAGAAGACTGAAGAGAATATGGCAATACTGCAGAAAGAATTGAAGGACAAAATGGCTCAGAACAGTCAAAGTACCCTAGAGTCCATCAAGAAAAGCACGGAGTCCTTAGTCGACCAGATCGTGGCTAAGTTATCTGGTTTACAATAACAAGAAAGTGCACCCGGAGTAGGTGCATCTGATGGGATAACCATATCACCAACCCCACAAGTGGTTGTCTTATCCGAGATCTTACCCGGACTGCAAGGTGAGTCATCTGCCACCAAAGGGAAAGTTGTATCGGTTGCAAATTTACAAACTTCTGCAGTCAATCCTGACAGTCATCCAGACGACTACCCTATTCCGGATTTTAACGAGGATGATAAGGCAAAGAAGATGGAAGAGAAGATCAGGATGTTAGAAGATCAAATGAAGATGGTCCAAGGGGACCATGATTATTATGGAGTAGACGCAATGGAGCTAAGCTTAGTTCCAGATTTGGTGCTTTCACCTAAGTTTAAAATTCCTGAGTTTGATAAGTTCAACGGGAACAGATGCCCTTCAGCCCATATCACTATGTTCTGTTAGAAGATGACAGGATACAGAGGAAATGACCAACTCTTGATCCATTTCTTTCAGGAGAGCCTGTCCGGTTCAGCTATCCGGTGGTACAACCAGCTCAGCCGAACTCATATCAAGACATTGAAAGACTTAGCCAAATCTTTCTTAGAGCAGTACAAGCATATCAATGATATGAGACCAGACCGAGTTATACTACAGAGCCTGAAAAAGAAGCATAACGAAAGTTTCCGACAGTACGCACAGAGGCTGAGGGATTTATCTGTGCAAGTTCATCCACCCTTGGATGAAAGGGAAACTAGAAAGTTATTTGTACAGACCTTGAAGACACCTTACTTCGGGCACCTGGTGGCAATTACATCAGGAACTTTCTCAAATCTAGTTATGGCTGGTGAGATGGTGGAGCTAGCTATAAAACAAGGAAAAATAGAATGACGGGACTCCAGAAGAAGCCTCTCATAAGGAACTAGGACCGAGAGATCAATGATGTCAACACTTACAACGCTAACAAAGGTGTTACGATATCAAGTTCAAAAACCACTGCAGCTGTACCATTCGGTACTTCTAATCAAATTCAGCGAGAACCAATGAAAGAAAGGGAGCAGTTCGATCCCATTTCCATGACGTATAAAGAGTTATATCAACAACACTTCGACACTCAAGCGATATCACCCTACCCAATGGATCTGATAAAGCCCCCGTATCCGAAATAGTTTGACGAAAACGCCCACTGCGAATATCATGGAGGTGTATAGGGGAATTCAATTTAAAACTGTCTCGTATTCAAGAGGCTTGTACAACAAATGCGGAACAAAAATTGGATTCATTTCAACTCCGGAGCACCAAACGTCGCCCAAAAGCTCCTTTGGCTTGGGTATGGAGCCAAATGGTAAAAGCGGGGCTTCTTGTACCTCAATCACGTGCAACAAGGATTGAAGATGATAACTATTGTTGTTACCACAACGAAGAAGGGCATGAAGTACAAGATTTCCCAGAATTCAAGTCATTATTCCATTTCATGATGGACAAGAAAGAGCTGGATTTCTATGAAGAAATTCAAGATTCCCCGGAAGTAGAAGTTTGCGCTACTGGAGAATCACTAGAAAGAGGATTTGGTAGGGGTAGTCCATTGATAATTACCCCTAAAGCAAAGATGACAGCAACAAATCAAGCCAATGTGGTGATCACAACACCTCGGTCTTTTCAATATAAAGACCACTTGATCCTTTCAAACAGGATGTACTAGCTATCAATGAGCCTATAAAGGAGGAAGAAGCTAAAGAGTTCCTCAAGATCTTGAAGCACAGCGAGTACAATATTGTAGAACAACTCCACAACTTACTTACACGTACTTCAATGCTAGCACTATTTTTGAACTCGGAGGCACATCGAGAAACACTGTTGAAATTCCTAAATTAAACGTTCGTGCCGCAGAACATACCAGTCACCAAGATGGATCAACTGGTAAATAATATTCAAGCTGATAATCTCATCTCATTCTCAGATAATGAGATTCCATCCAGAGGAAGAGGCCGAACTAAGGTATTACACATCACTACCTATTGTAAGGGGCATGCCTTACCGAGTGTGTTGATCGATAACGGCTCAGCCCTAAACGATATGTCTTTGGTTACACTAAAAAGGCTGTCAATAGATACCTTACATATGAGAGCATGTCAGAATGTGGTCCGAGCATTTGATGGGACTAAAAGAGAGGTTATTGGCAAGATCGAGGTGTCGTTGACCATCGGACCTACCACCTATGATGTTGAGTTCCTTATGATGGATATCATGTCATCCTATAGTTGTCTTTTGGGAAGGCCATGGATTCATCAAGCATGTGAAGTGCCCTCCACGCTGCACCAAAAAGTTAAGTTTGTTATTGACGTGTCCTTAGTAATTATCAATGCTGAGGAAGATATCGTGGCAAATGTGACCAGAGAGGCCCCATCGAAGTAGATGAAGAACCAGTGGAGTGCTCATTCTGCTCCTTAGAGTTTGTGAATACCACATTTGTAGTAGAAGGAAGAAGAACCCTTAAATCCCGACTTTCCAAGTGCACAAGAATGAAGATCATGCAGACTTTGGGAAGAGACGCCAGGACCGGGAGAGGTTTTGGGAAATACTTGCAAGGAATGATTAATCATGTCATTCCTGTTTCAAAACTCGATCAATTTGGGCTTGGTTTTCAGCCCAGTTATCAAGAAAAGAGGAAGGAAGTCTAGAAGAACTGGGACAGAATGATAGTCAGGTTGACTGGAAATTGACTTCAATGGAAGCCTATAACATTCCCGCCTCTTTACCATACATTCAAGTCAGGTGGTTATCTGTTCGAGACCACCTCATCCGATCTAGAAGCGGCTCTGGAAGATCTGAACATTAATGTCGTGACCACAGAAAATATTGACACTGAAGATAAATCTGAGATATGCCCTATGCCACCTGGGTTCGTGCCTAGCAGTTGGTCGGTGGAAGAACTATATGTGGTTTACAAGAATCTTTCAGAGTAATATTTGAACTATCCCTATTTGCCTATACCCGGGGTAATAGGTGATCTTTTGTAAGGGTGAATAAATATTTGGTTTAATTTCAATAAATGATGCATTTGTTTCTATGTCCATGACAAACAATTTTTCTTTCATTTCTTTTTGAATTCATTGTCTATTTTCTTCATTCCAGCACTCTATCATATTCTCTTTCAAATTTAATTCTTTGACTGTTTCGTGTGGGATATTTCCTCTCACACACATATATTCTCTCTTTCTTCAGGTCCCTAGATGACGATAATGTAGGCACTGATGGTTCTGATCCGGATGTGGATTTTGAATCGACCATTTATCTTGGGGAATTTGACGAATGCGACAATGAAGAGGAGTGCAACTTGCCTACCGAATTGTTAAGAATGGTAGAAAGATAAGAAAAGAAAATACTACCACATGAGGAGGCGATCGAAATCTTGAATCTGGACACTGAAGATGACAAAAATGAGGTTAAAATCGGCACAACTCTATCGGCTGAAGTAAGACAAAACCTGATAGTCTTGCTTCAGAAGTACAGAGATGTGTTCGCTTGGTCGTGTCAAGATATGTCGGGACTAGACACAGATATGGTGGTTCATAAATTGCCAATTAAGCCAGAATGCAAACCCCGTGCAACAGAAACTGAGAAGGATGCGACCTGAGATGCTCCTCAAAATTAAAGAAGAGGTCAAGAAGTAATTTGACGTCGGTTTTCTTCAAGTAGCAAAGTATCCGGAGTGGGTGGCCAACATAGTGCCTGTTCCGAAGAAAGACGGGAAGGTTCGCATGTGCGTCGATTACCAGGACCTTAACAAGGCGAGCCCTAAAGACAACTTTCCTCTACCTCACATTGACACGTTGGTAGAAAGTACAGCCGGGAACTATTTTTTTCATTCTTGGATGGATTTTCGGGATATAACCATATCAAGATGTATCCTGAAGACATGAAGAATACCACATTTGTCACAATGTGAGGAACTTTCTGCTACAAGGTGATGCCTTTCGGATTGAAGAATACCGGGGCAACATACCAGAGAGCTATGGTGACCCTATTCTACGA